GCTACTGCTCTTTATAGCACCTGAGCAGCTGAAGCCTTTTGTCTAAACAGCCTGAGCCAGCAGCACGCCATAAAAGAGACACTCAGTGTTCGGCATTTCTCTTAGAAACTACAGACAAAGAGCTACAGACAGCAGCTGTGTGTCTCCTTCAGGCCTCTGTTCACTGTGTGGAACTCACTTTCTGGAACAAAAACCTCTGAATATGACACTGTCATGCACAGAGGTCTAAACATTCATCTTCAAATATTCCAAAATATGACAAAGTATTCCACAAATAATTCAACATCCAACGTAAAGCCTCCCGTTTGCATCCTATCAAGAGTTCTTCATGTTCAAACAACAAACTAAATCTCATTTCACAATTTTTGTTTTAAGACAAAAAAATCATTGTGACTTCAGAGAAAATCTGCAGGTAAAAGTTAAAACTTTTATTTATAGTTTTTAACTGACTATAATGTAGTTCATGAACATATAAACACATTCTAAAGTCTTTATTATGGTGTTAACAGTTTCAAATCCTGTAACTGATGTTCATGAAATGTTTTTTCATAAATGAAATACATTCTTCCACATTTCTTTTTCATTTAAGTATGAAAACTTATTCCATATGAAAATAAAAACACATTCATTTAGTAACAGTTTATACACCACAGTGTGTATTTCCAAGTACGTAAATAAACACTGCTATTTTCTTTTTCATCATAGTTTGTTAACATTTATTAATGGAGGATTAAATAAGGAGTTACAGAGGCAAAAGAGTTCAGGATCAGGACAGTCACATGACTGCAACCCAGGAATATCATGGGACAGATTAGTAGCTTTTATTGTCTTCGTCATCAGCTGTTCAGAACAAGCAAAAACTTTGACAGAAGAAGCAGCAGGTAAATTTCTAAATGTGAAAGAGTTATCACGAGAAAAGATCCACACAGATTTTAGACAAGGAGACAGTTAATGATAATACAAGAACTGGGACTAGTGCTTATTGAATTATGGATAAAGAAAGAAAGTTTGAAGGTGGTTCATTTTAATACCCATGAGAAAAACCTAGAGAAAGGAGAACTAAAAACAATATTGGAACATTAGAGAGGTAATGTTATCTGGTGTGGAGATCTAAATGCACCCAACACAGTGTGGTGTGAACAGGAAGATTTAAATGGAGAAATAATAGTGGAGCTAATAGATGAAAAGTGCGTTTAAATTGTGGATCAGGTAAAAAAGGGTACAGAATCAGTGATAGATCTCACTTTGGTGTCACAGTCTTTAGTGGAAAAACTAGCCTGGAAGTATTCAAAGGAAGCGTGACAGGAAGTGCTCACTATCCAAACTTCATAAACACAGGAGGAGAAATGGAACTACAACGAAATGAAACAGAAGGGAGATGGACATTTCAAGAAGCAAATTGGGACAACAGAATAACAACTAAAGGAAAATGAAAGGGATTAAGTATAAAACAGGCAACTATTATGGTTAATCTAATAAAAAATATATCTTAACCACCGGAGGTTAGATGGAGCAACCGACACCCACTTAGAACAAACGCACGGATGTAATTCAAAATGTTCCATGCCTGTCTCGGACTATGAGATAGTTAACACATCACATTTTAGTTACTTCTATGTTGTGTGGTTCTTGATGGTTTTTATTGTACAGCACTTTGGTCAACCCTGCTTGTTTAAAGCATGCTTTATAAATAAACTTAATTTGATTTGATTTGATGTATGTCATTTTCAACAACTGAAACTGAGATTTATTAAATGATATATTCCTGTTGACTTTTCTCAAATTAAAACATGAGCACGGTCGGAAAACTGTTGCACACCTGTTTCTAACTTCACCTGCTACGAACACCAAACCCAACTTATGCGCTGCCCACAGATCAGAGGAATTTACTTGTTTAACCTAAAACTCTTAATGGCTACAATACAACTAATGATCTCAGTACAGAAAGAAGCATAATTATTGTCTGAGCAGCCAGAGAATCAATCTCAAAAGGAAACTGTCTTAAAAGGAAAAAGATAGTGGACACAAGAATGCACTGCTGCAATAAAGAATTTGACTGAGACAAAAGAGAGCAGGCAGTAGTTAGGAGTATAGTAATTACATAATTAGACCAAGTGTGAGGTATGATTACGATGATAGAATATGGATATCCTATAATGAAAGATAATAGGAGGTAAGGATAAGGCAGAATTATTAACATGGACCTTTGTTAAGGTACAAAGACAGAGTGAACAACAACAGGAAATATAGAAGCACTGCAGGATGATGAGAAGAATGAAATATAATATATATAATATATATATATATATATATATATATATATATATAGGCTATATATAAAATATGATGTTTACCATAGTCTGGGAAAGATTGAAGCTACTGGAGTAAACAACTTCAGCAAGAGGAGTAAAGGAATTATTAGGATTATATAATAAGGCTCACGTCATACTGTCCCCATATGTACACCAGGTTATTTTGGGTTTGTTGGCATGCTTTATGGCGGACCGCGGTCCGGGCACGGACCCAGTCACGGTTCTGCCCGTACCCGTGAAAATTATATTATAATTATAATATTAGGCCTAATAAAACGATAAATCATTCTGTGCATAGGCGCTAGTATGTTTATACGACAGAAACGTCATCATAGCCAAGCCAATCAAATCGATTGTTTACCTTTCAGCACCAGAGAATGGGGGGGGGGGGGGGGGGGGGGGGGGGGGTGAAAATGGCTTGAGAAAAGTAGACAGTGAAAACTGAACTTTAAAGATGAAATGGACGGACAATACATGTTCGTCCTGCTGCAGCCAGTTCTAAACCTGTGTCTCATGCTGTGAAACTGTGGCGTTAATAAAAAAGTAGCAACGTTAAGCGTCACTATGAGACCAACCGGATGCGTTTGGGATGAAACATACCCGCAGAAGTCCGCAGTGAGGGCGAGTAAAATGATCGAACTGAAAGCACAGTATGACCGGTCTACCCGTGTCCTCACATGCATTTACAGGCCAGCAACGTGCAGATGAGTGTTCACTTAAGATTGCGTGGATTTTGGCGCAACACAAGAAACATCCAGCGATGGGACAGTGGTGAAGGAGTGCTTCAATGCGGCTGCAGAGACTTTACTTGACAGTAAACAAAAAAACGACATGTGTGAAAAAAATCAAGCAAATCCCATTGTCAGCTTCAACAACAACCAGAAAATCTGAACTACTAGCAGAGGATGTACTGGCACAGCTTGATGCAGCTGTTCAAAACGCAGTATGCATATCCTTAGCCATTGATGAGTCCACAGATGGAACAGATAATGCCCAGCTTTTGGTGAATGGGAGATTTCTTCACAAAGAGAAGAAAGAGATGTGTGAGGACCTGCTGGGTTTAATGCCACTAGTTAATACATGGTTAAAATAGGGGGTGGGCGGCTCAAAGGTCTTTTGTTTAGAAGAAGAAGAAGAAATTCAGTTACTTGAAATGTAGTAAAGACAACTACATTAATGTTTTCCATTCAAGTGCCATACAAGTTCAGACTTATCAGTATGTTTAAAGTATATAACACTTGAAATTTGACAGTAAATGACATAGAAAAGTACATATGTTGTTTTTTATTTACATCAGGGTGCACTATTTCGAGTGACAATATAAGATTCGGACCTTTGCTGGGAGGACATTTTTGTAACTGGACCTCTTTGAATTTTAATTGAATACCCCTGATCTATAGACTGACTGCTTCGACTTCACATGTTGGAAAAAATATGAAAACTGGAACCACCACCTTCAGTGAACACACAATGAACTCTACTACAGAATAAAACAGGAAATGAATCAATTGTCCAACCAAATGGTCAATCAGGACAAACCATGACACAGACTAACTTTAAACATCTGCTTCAACAAGAATCTTACTTTGACGAGTCATATTGGAAAAATTATTAAAAATGTAAAAAATAATTGAACTCAGAACAACTTTATTAGTCCCACCAATTGATTACGAGCATGTTGTACACAGAGAAACACCGAGACAACAACATACAGGGTTAGGGTTAACCAAGGGACTCAAATGTAGAATAAAATCCATAAATGTAATTAATAATAAAACATCAATTAAACAAAGAAACAAATACTAATACAAAACTATGATCATGTAAAACAGGGAATGAAATATTTGAAAGGTTAGTTTTACAAACAGGTAAAACACAACAACAGTGAGAATCCACCTGCAACAACACACTCAGGTCCTGAGGTTTTTAGAGGACCTGACAACAATATAACAGTCAGAGGACAGAAACTGTCTACGCAGCACAATAAAATGAACATCATTTACGGGCTTTACATGAGAAGTTTTCTGATGAATTTTCTTGTTTTAAAATCATTGCAGGTGAAAAGTAAAACATCTCAGTAACAACAGATTGTTGATGTGGTTTTTGGTCAGGAAAAAAAACACAGCTGATGTTGGGAGATATCAGATTTCAATATTCTGTGTTGATGTGTGGGAGTCTCACAGCTGATAGTGTCACCTCTGTTCTGCTCCTCAGGCAACAGCAGGAGCTTCATCCTAACATTATTATTATGCCTCCAGCCACAGTGGTCAAAGGTCAAAGGTCTTGTGACCTCACAAAACTTATTTTTGGCAATAACTCAAGAATTCCCTTAATATCTTACATAAGATTCCTTAAAGGTCTGTACTACACATATGACATGGATGTCATAGGCCATGGTTCTCTCTGCATGTAGCAGATGTTAGCATCATCACTGAACATGTGACATGTTAGCCAGAGTTGACAAGTATCTGTGGTGTGAACAGGATGACTGACTAAATGACCCAAATGAGCACATATCATCATCTGTTCATTTCATTTCTTGATTGTTCTTTAATGTGAATAACCTCAGCAGCAGTGTTATGATTATACTTAATTTAACATATGATTGAATAAAAAACAGTGTTTAAAGAAACAGGCAATAAAATTTATTTCAACAGCACTTTATTGTTTCTCAGCTTGTTGACAAGCCTAGCAGCAGGAATCCACAATGCGCTTCATGCTCATGAACTTCATGTTGCCCATGCCCATGTTCATGAAGCTCCTGTACTCTCCAGGCCTCATGTACATCATCCTGCCTCTGTAGTGGGGCTGCTCATACATCAGCCAGTGTCCGTCCATCACGTGGCAAGACATGCAGTTGGACATGCGGTAACGATCCATGACATTGTCACAGTCGTCCATCAGCTCGGACATCTGGCCTCCAAAGTTCTCCCTCTCATAGATCCTCATTCTGTATGAGCCACGGTACTGGAACACATCAGTGATCAGTATACAATCATTAGTCAGCGTTCACTGGTAGAGAGTTTAGGTAGAACTCAGCAGCACAGGAAATCACTCGTTATTTGTACCTAACATACTACATGGTCAAAAATATGTGGACACCCAGTGAAGTTGTTGATATGCAGACACACTATACGGTCATCGTCATCATCATCATCATCATCATCATCATCATCACTGTCATCACTGTCATCATCATCAATATCATCATCATCACTGTCATCATCATCATCACTGTCATCGTCATCATCATCATCATCACTGTCGTCATCATCATCATCACTGTCATCATCATCATCATCATCATCACTGTCATCATCATCATCATCATCATCACTGTCATCATCATCAGCATCACTGTCATCGTCATCATCATCATAATAGAAAATTATAAAAGTGCCATTTACTGAGTGTATGACCATCCTCTTAATTTAGCTTTAATTTGAAATATCGATTGAAGGTGTTGATAATGTGAATAAAGGAAAACAAAACCTGGAAAATCCAGAGCATAAACATGAAGAGTCCATGCTCTTCAGTTTCTTCATGAATGAGCTGCTGCCGACATTAGACTGATGTTATTTGTTTATCTGCTGTAAACCCAGATCATTGGTTCATGTCACAGCTCCAGCTCCGGGAGAGAAATGCAGGATTATAACTGATCAAACTGCCAAAACCAGTAGAGCTGGATGAACCCTCAGGTTCCGAGGGCCCTGGGTTTTTTCCCAGTTCCAGTTCGCCTGGTGTTGAAGTAACACGCTGCCTGTTATTTTGTGGTCTGCACTTTTAGGGTCTATACTGTGATCAGTCAAATACTGATGTAAGAAGATGTAAGTAGTGTAATGTGATTGGCTGTGTGGTTACCATGGGGATCATGCGGCAGGACCTGATGCAGTCGTTCATTCCCATCATGCTCATGTAGTCGGCGTATTCGCCCCTCCTCAGGAAGTACTGGTTGCCCATGAAGTTGGTGCGGTCGTACACCATGAAGCAGCCTCTCTCCACCCTGCAGGAGTGACACCTGTTCAGGTAGGAGGACATGTCGGCACAATCGCTGCTGCACTCATAGGAACGGCCCTGGAAGTTCCTATCCTCGTAGAAGATGATCTGACAGGAGATTAAACAAAGTGGTGAGGTTTTACTGACTGTTGGAGGGTTAGGTCATGTGACATGACAGTCACAGTCTAGCTGTTAACAGGTCATGGGAGATTAGAGATTCAGGTCTGATCAGAATTGATCAATAATCATGCCTACAGACGGTTAGATTTCTGTTGACTCTTCTTCAGGTTTCAGACCCCACTGCATGATAGGAAAAACCTTGCTACATCATCCCTACAGCAGCTAAACGTGTGGTTTTCTGAGCTGGACTGTCTGAAGTTAGAGTCTATTAACAGGATAAATGTTGTGACTTATACAGTTAGTTCATATCTGAAATTAATATCGGATGTTTCAGCCCTGACAGTCTCCGATATCTGATCAATATCTGATCAATAATAAAAACGGTTGTAGTTTTGCTGTGTGGAAAATGGATCAGCCTCAGATGTGAATTAATAAAATAAGCTCAGTCTGACTATGTTTGTCTGTGTCTGTGATCAGTGCTGATCAATAAAAATCCTGATTGATAATCATTATTCTCTGATCATTATCAGTGTTTTTGAGTTTCAAGCTGAAACAATATTGTTGCTTTCTCTGGTATTGATTTTTAGATGATCTGTTATGTGGCCATGCTAATTGATGTAATCCGGTTAAAAAACCTTTGATCTGACCAGTTTTCCAGCTGATCCCTGTGTGACTCTGTGTGTGAGGAGCATTTGAGTGCAGTGATGCATGCTGGGACTTACCCTGCTCATCTTGTTCATGTCTGTGGTGGACATGCTGCAGATTTGTTGCTGGCGTGTTGCTAGCGTGTTGTTGACGTGCTTTGCCTTCTCACCTGTGTGAGTTCGCAGCTTTTATACACCTTAGTGTCGGTCGCTGCTTTGTGTGTCAGAGCGCTGAGTCTGCACACACACACAAAGCCTCTTTGTGAAAGGGTTAGCAATGAGTGTGTGTGAGGCCTTCTGCTGCTGCTGTCATCTACACAAGCTCTTTGTTTAACCTGTTCAACAGCACTGAACTAACCTGTTCAACAGCGCTGAACTCACCTGTTCAACAGCGCTGAACTCACCTGTTCTACAGCGCTGAGCTCACCTGTTCTACAACGCTGAACTCACCTGTTCTACAGCGCTGAACTCACCTGTTCTACAGCGCTGAACTCACCTGTTCTACAGAGCTGAACTCACCTGTTCAACAGCACTGAACTAACCTGTTCAACAGCGCTGAACTCACCTGTTCTACAGCGCTGAGCTCACCTGTTCTACAACGCTGAACTCACCTGTTCTACAGCGCTGAACTCACCTGTTCTACAGAGCTGAACTCACCTGTTCAACAGCACTGAACTCACCTGGTCAACAGCACTGAACTCACCTGTTCAACAGCGCTGAACTGACCTGTTCTACAGCGCTGAGCTCACCTGTTCTACAACGCTGAACTCACCTGTTCTACAGCGCTGAACTCACCTGTTCAACAGCGCTGAACTCACTTGTTCTACAGCCCTGAGCTCACCTGTTCTACAACGCTGAACTCACCTGTTCTACAGCGCTGAACTCACCTGTTCAACAGCACTGAACTCACCTGGTCAACAGCACTGAACTCACCTGTTCAACAGCGCTGAACCGACCTGTTCTACAGCGCTGAGCTCACCTGTTCTACAACGCTGAACTCACCTGTTCTACAGCGCTGAACTCACCTGTTCAACAGCACTGAACTCACCTGGTCAACAGCACTGAACTCACCTGTTCAACAGCGCTGAACCGACCTGTTCTACAGCGCTGAGCTCACCTGTTCTACAACGCTGAACTCACCTGTTCTACAGCGCTGAACTCACCTGTTCAACAGCACTGAACTCACCTGGTCAACAGCACTGAACTCACCTGTTCAACAGCGCTGAACCGACCTGTTCTACAGCGCTGAGCTCACCTGTTCTACAACGCTGAACTCACCTGTTCTACAGCGCTGAACTCACCTGTTCAACAGCACTGAACTCACCTGGTCAACAGCACTGAACTCACCTGTTCAACAGCGCTGAACCGACCTGTTCTACAGCGCTGAGCTCACCTGTTCTACAACGCTGAACTCACCTGTTCTACAGCGCTGAACTCACCTGTTCAACAGCGCTGAACTCACCTGTTTTACAGCACTGAGCTCACCTGTTCTACAACGCTGAACTCACCTGTTCTCCAGAGCTGAACTCACCTGTTCAACAGCGCTGAACTCACCTGTTCTACAGAACTGAACTCACCTGTTTTACAGCACTGAGCTCACCTGTTCAACAGCGCTTAACTCACCTGTTCAACAGTGCTTAACTCACCTGTTCTACAGAGCTGAACTCATCTGTTCAACAGCGCTTAACTCACCTATTCAACAGCGCTTAACTCACCTGTTCTACAGAGCTGAACTCACCCGTTCAACAGCGCTGAACTCACCTGTTCAACAGCGCTGAGCTCACCTGTTCTACAACGCTGAACTCACCTGTTCTACAGCACTGAACTCACCTGTTTTACAGCGCTGAGCTCACCTGTTCTACAACGCTGAACTCACCTGTTCTACAGCACTGAACTCACCTGTTTTACAGCGCTGAGCTCACCTGTTCTACAACGCTGAACTCACCTGTTCTACAGCACTGAACTCACCTGTTTTACAGCGCTGAGCTCACCTGTTCTACAACGCTGAACTCACCTGTTCTACAGCACTGAACTCACCTGTTTTACAGCGCTGAGCTCACCTGTTCAACAGCGCTTAACTCCCCTGTTCTACAGAGCTGAACTCACCCGTTCAACAGCGCTGAACTCACCTGTTCTACAGTGCTGAGCTCACCTGTTCTACAGCGCTGAACTCACCTGTTCAACAGCGCTGAACTCACCTGTACAACAGCGCTGAACTCACCTGTTTTACAGCACTGAACTCACCTTCCTCTCCATCCATCCATCCAGTGGCAGCAGGTTAAGCAGAGTATTCCAGATGTTCCTCTCCCATTCTCAGGCCAGATAGGATATATGATCTCTTCAGCAAGTTCTGGGTCTACCTAAGTCTGGGTGTACCTGGGTCTGGGTCGCTTCCTAGTTGGACATGCTCAGAAAACTCCTAGGCTCCTCCAGCCCAACAATGTCCAAAGCCTTCAGCATCTCAGGGCGCATCTCGTCCACACCCAGCACCTTGCCGCCCAGCAGCTTCGCCTCCTTCTTCAGCCAGACGGCTTCCTTGACTGGTGGTGAGGCTTCACCTCTGCTGGTATCTGCAGTAACACTCAGGCTTCATTGCTAGTGACTGACAGTTTGTGAAGAACATGCTTCAGTCAGGTTAAAAGATGACCAACTGTGTTTAAAAAAAAATCAGTTTCTTTATTAAAAGTCAGATCTATAGGAGGCCTGTGGACATAAAGACTTTGAGGTAGATATTAAATACAACTCCCAATGTGCATTTGGGCAAAAAACATCCAATCACAGAGCTTAATGCTCTAGATGGGGTAGAGTTCCTCTAACTCTGTTGTTGGTGTCTGGGTGATCTGTAGCTCATGGGAGTAGCAGCTGTGTGGGCCACACTGTTGGGTAACATCCTCCAATGTTTTGGCGAATGTTCTCACCACGCCTTGTTCAGGTGTAGTCCCATAAATATCCCATGTACTGATGTTGGTTTGGTGGGCCAGCACCTAGCTGGAGCTCTTTGAGATCTCATGAATTACTATTACTATTAGAAGAAATCACCCTGCTCTCAGCCACCTCGCTCATGGCCTCAACATGGAGGTCATCGGTGCCTCTATGCTCCACAATGCACTGGTGGCTTCCCACTTAAATGTAGATCTGTTTCACTTCTTTTTTTCTTTTCTTTGTTCTCTCTCTTTCCTTGTTTTTTTTCATCCAGAAGTTTAGGGAGTTCATTTTGTCTTTGACCTAACTCTCTCTCTCTCTCTCTCTCTCTCTCTCTTACCTTCATTGACAGGTACAGCCTCAGGGTACGTTTGTCTCAGGTGTGCTGTTACCTGCCCAGATATGTTCATTCTTTCAGAGTGGCAGCAGAGGCAGGTAGGTTCACATTCACTCATTTTAACACATTAAAAATCAACACTGTTGGTTTCATCATGTAACTGGATAAAGATGAAAACTGTGTGAAAGACTTTTTCATGGTGCTTGGTACATTCTCAGTGACAGTAGTGGATTGTCATATATAATCTGTATCAGCTGTTATTTGATTATTGTTATCTGTGTTGCTCTGCACCAACCACTATTTAAATCAGTATCTTACAGAAACCTGTAACTGTATGAAATATAAACTGATAATCTGAGCTGTGTTTACTTATGATTTAGAGTCGGTGGACATAAAGAGAGAGCTCCTACCAATACATTCACTTCCACACTAAAGCCATCTGTCTCTTCATAGTCACGGGATTATTATAAGAAAGTACAAAGTCAAAGAAGTGAGAGTATAATTGAGTTATTATGAAAGAGGGACTACTTTTATCAGAATGTCAAACGCAGAGATTAAAAGTACGACAGTGATGGTCAAACAAAACGATGTCTGACACTTGACGTCTGCTGATTAGATTGTTTTCTGCAAACCTTTTTAAACTCTTATTTAAAACCTTTATAAATTGAAAAGATGTGCGATGAATCACATTAGGCTACTCCTCTGCAGTTCTTTACTTTTCAGGGGCAACTGATGAGGTTCTAGTGGTTGTTGATGAGGTTCTAGTGGTTGATGAGCTTCTAGTGGTTGCTGATGGGGCTCCACTAATGTTCCAGGTTTGGTTTATAACAGTATCCAGTGGCTGGTGGCACTGAGGAGTTTCGTTCAGTTTTTCATCAAAAGGTTTAAACATTTTTGTTGTACAAGATAATCCACTTAGTTCATGGTCTCTTAGCAGCGTGGCTGTAGGTAATCAGATCCCCCTGCACCAAGTTTGTTCCCTCAGCTGTCGTAACCCTAACCCTACAACAAGAATCTCTCCACAAAAATAGATGATGAATATAATCTGTGTATCCAGGTAGAAATAAAAGTTAAAACATTCAACAGAGCAGAAGATACTGAGACTTTGATATGGTTCCTCTGCTGTGTTATACTTTGTTTCCCTGGTGATCAATAAAGTTATCTTGAAAATAACATGATTTTTTTTCTCTCAGCAGAACAGAACATTACCATCAAGATAGTTTGTTCATCCAGAAACACTGAAGTCAGTAAGTCCCGACAATTACTGCTGAGGCCCAAACATTCCCCTTAAAGTTCATCAGTCCCTTCAGGCCTCAGTTTACTGCTGTATGAAGAGCTTCATCAGCCAGGATCATCACTAAAGTAAATGATCTACATTCATATTGGACCAAAGCCATGTCCTGGTCCAGGTGTGGTTCAGTTAATAAAGTTATTAATATAATACATAATATATATATATATATATAAACTGGATTTTGACAGAGTCTCAAACCAAAAGATAGAGAATCAGGAGCAACCTCAAAACCTTCATTGTTTCAGGTGTTTAGAAACACATTCAACAGATTACTGCAAAGTAAGAGTGATCCTGAGGGACTGGAGGTTCAGGTGATCAGGGGACCAGGGGATGGAGGTCTTGGGTTTTTGTTGACTGGGAGACTGGAAGTCTAGTGGTCTGGGGGTGTCGGGCCTGAAGTGAAACTCTGTGTTGTGTTGTGTTAGGACTGTGGAAACAGTTTGTCTGTTGATCCTGAACCTCCAGTAGAAGTAATCACGATAAGACACTGAGACAATCACACTGATCACCATCACCATCACCATCATCATCATCATCATCATCAATCTTCCTGTGAACATGTTTTCTTATGTAAGGCTGTTAGCTGTTAGCCACATGCTAACAGTGTCAACAGTTTGCTTTTGAATGTAAAACTAGAGTTTGTGGTTTAATGTAGCTGCCAGTCATTCACACACACACACACACACACACACACACACACACACACACACACACACACACACAGGTAATGTAGCAGTGTGTTAGGGTTCAATCATTGTTGTGGTGATGTTTGTGTTAAGATCTGACCTCAGATCAGAAATCAGACTGTAACTCATCATGTGTTTGAATAATTGATAATAATTATTATAATAATAGTTTACATGTTGTTTTCTTTCAGAATTAATCACGGACCAGGGAGTCCACCAGAGACGAGGATCCATCAGACCATCAGACACCAGCAGGTGTCTCTCACATCTGACCATGATCCTCATCTTCATCTGTGAGTTCAGTTCATCACAGATTATTGTCATTCATCTCTATAATCTATTACCTAGATAATGTCATATGTAATCCATAAAATGTTTTATAATAATCTATATAATCTCCTATATACTCTATTATTTATATAATCTCATACACAATTACATATATAACATATATGATCTCATATACAATAACATATGTTTCCACAGACTGAAGATGATAAAGTTATGATGATGATAAAAAATATTTTTATGCTGAAACATTTTGAGGTCTCCACTAGAATTTAAAATCTCTGTCTCTTCAGTTCTTCTTCCAGCAGCTCTGCTCCAAGACCCCCAGGACCTTCAGGACCTTCAGGACCTCCAGGACCGCCAGGACAGCCAGGACCGCCAGGACCTCCAGGACCGCCAGGACCAGTGTCCAGGCGGCTCCTGCAGCCCTCAGCTGGGTGACCTGATGGTGGGTCGAGCTGCTCAGCTCTCGGCCTCATCGACATGCGGTCTGGACGGACCTCAGAACTACTGCATCATAGGATACTTGGAGGTCTGACATCACAGTGTGACAACACCCTTACACTGTACATATACAGTCAATACACACACACACACACACACACACACACACACACACACACACTAGTCCTAACACTACACACATAAACCAACACACTGTGTGTGTGTGTTCCTGGCGCTCGCTCAGCCTCTCATACTGAAACATGTCCTGATCTGTCCTCGTCTCTTCATTACTGAACTTTTCATCCTGATTCTTCAGGATCTTGATTCAAGTTTCATTAAAAACAGAATAAAACAAACAAATCATTATTTTCACAATTCTCGTGACGCAGTGAGAATGAATAAATAAAAACCCAAATTCTAACACACACACACACACACACACACACACTCACACTGTCACACTGTCTACCTAGTGTTTACCTCTGACACACTGAACAGTCTCAGTGATTGTAGATATGAAGAAACAGGCGAATTCACTTACCCTGACCTGCTTTACCTTTAATCTGCTTTTAACTCCTCCTCTCACCCAATCAGAGAGCAGATACTTGGAGGCTCCGCCCACTCAGTCCAACCACATCACAGTATAGTTCCACAGGAATTTCACTGCAGTTTACGTGTCAACTCAATTTAATTCTTATAGAAACTAATCACATCAGAAGTTTTCACTTTTTTTACAGAGTCATATTTAACAGGTAGAAATCTGGAACAGAGCCAGCCTCAGCAAGGGGGGCAGGGGCATGACGATGATGATTATTGATCATAATGATTATTGATCAGGTGAATATGTCCTCATCCATCAGGAGGGGCAGAAATGTTTTACATGTGACTCTCGTCTGCCGTACGATCGCTACAGCAACCCGAACAGCCACCGCATTGAGAACATCATCACGACCTTTGACCCCGAGAGAAAAATGAAGTGGTGGCAGTCTGAGAACGGTGAGTTTAAGATATCATGATCACAGAGACTGTCCAATCGGAGAGGTCGTGAAACATCCTGTGACCAGAAAGTTGAATTCTGTCCAATCAGAGAGGACTCACCTGAACTTAAGGGTTCATATTTAAACTGAAAGTGTGAATCATTATATTAATTATAATTAATATGTTTATAATCTCACCTGTGCAGGTGTTCACCAGGTCAGCATCAGGTTAGACCTGGAGACAGTGTTCCAGTTCAGTCACCTGGTCCTCACCTTCAAGGTAAAACGCTGTGACGTAAACACTGTACTGTATATACTGTGTATGTATACAGTCTGTATATACAGTGAGCAATACTGATGAGGGTTACACTGAATCATTTATTACTTATTTTTCTGTCTAATGTAATAAATGATTCAGTGTTTATACACATTTATATATTTTTAAAGCGTTGATTATCTGATTTTTTCCCCCAACTTTATTAAGTGTAAAAAATATGTCAAGTACAAACAGTACACATACACATCAATATGAGAGCTGATGACAACAAGGATTCCGAAAAGTATACAAGAAATTATATTAAATGCACAACTGAATACATAGATGTATTTATACTTCAAAAATTAATAAATAAATAATAAATAAATACCATTACAAAAACATCAAATAGTCATACATAAGCAACTATAATCAACTTCAAGGGGTTTCGTTGAAAATATTCTTCTAACATTCTAAAAAACAGATGCTTCTTTTATTGTTTTTAAGAGACATGGAATCAAGTAGGATAATAAATTCCATCAAGAAAAGGGGGAGAGTCAGTTTCGAATTTAAGAATTTCTGTTTATAATTAAAGAATTTTCCAAATAAAATAAAAACGTTAACAACATAGTTAAGAGATTTAACACTCTTATTGTCATAATAACATATTATATCTTTCAAAGTAAAATAATGGGTCACTTTAGTATTAGGAAAAATATAAGCATTGAAATCTGAACAAAATTTCATTACAATTTTACATTGAAGAAATAAGTGGGTAATAGTTTTGTGTCGACAAAACGAGCAAGAATTATCAATGTCAGTATATTTGGAGATTATGGAATTTACAGGGTAAATTTTATGTAAAATTTTGAAATGGAAAATTCATGTGGTAATAACAAGTTTTATTCCAATTTATTTCTTCCAAAAGTGAGTTCCAATAAAATGTCCCTCTTGGGGTGATTTTGTTTGTACTTTGAAAAATTCGATGAACATGTTTATTATATACACTTTTTGTCGAATGTATTGATACCATTCAATAACAGTTCAGCTGGGCTTTCATAAGAGTTCCCATCATCAAAACATAAATTACTCTTCATAAAGTGGATTAACCCTGAAGGAATAGCTTTAATTACTGAGTTGTATTCTTTAAAAGAAATAAGAAAATGGGTTGATGATCATTGAACATGTGAACTGACAGAGTGATGTCACTTCCTGTCTCTGCAGAGTTTCCGTCCAGCAGCCATGTTGGTGGAGCGATCAAAGGACTTTGGACGAACCTGGAAGGTTTTTCGTTACTTCGCAGAAGACTGTTCACTTCATTTCCCTTCAGTGTCCAGTGAGCTGGCCGACAGCGTCGATGATGTCATCTGTGACAGCAGATACTCTGGATCAGAGCCATCCACTGATGGAGAGGTGTGTGTGTGTGTGTGTGTGTGTGTGTGAGTGTGTGTGTGTGTGTGTGTGTGTGTGTGTGTGTGTGTGTGTGTGTGAGTGTGAGTGAGTGTGTGTGTGAGTGTGTGTGTGAGTGTGAGTGTGTGAGTGTGTGAGTGTGTGAGCGTGAGTGTGTGTGAGTGTGTGTGAGTGTGAGTGAGTGTGTGAGCGTGAGTGTGTGTGTGAGTGTGATTGTGCGTGAGTGTGTGAGTGAGTGTGAGTGAGCGTGAGTGTGTGAGCGTGAGTGTGTGTGTGTGAGTG